TGAGGGGTCCAGAAAGGCTCACCGACTTTCACCAAGGTTTCAGACACCAGATACTCCAGCTGTGATCTGTTAACACCCAACGCTTGCCCCTAAAAGCCTGTTTTACCCTTAATTGCTGGTCTTGTTGATCGAGGTGTTAAAGCAGGACCTTTCTACACGCAGCTGGGAATGAGTAAGAACAGAGCGCCAAGCCCAGCGGTGCGTCGGAGCGCTCTGTTGTACCTACCTGTCTCTTCGCAGCTTAACTGCCTTGACTTCTGTGGAAAACTCTATCTCAATGACGGTCTTCTTCTTCAGGTCATCCCAGATCATTACTGGAGCAGAGCAGAGATGGCATTAGATCACCAAAGGTCCACATTGCCTCCACTGTAACAACTCCTAGTTTCTGAGAAGACTAACCAAGGGGTGCATCCAGTCGCCGAGCAGTTACGGACTGGCATCCTGCTAACTGGAAGGCATTTCGCTACGACACATCACCACTTCCACGCTATGACTCACGCAGGTGGGAGCTGGTAAACTTTAACCACAAAAGCTGACAATAAAAATACGTTTTTCTAACGAAAATCAGGCTTTTTTTCTGCTCTGAGGGTTGTTATCAAGGAAATAGAGCAGCAGTCAAAAAAGCCCCAAACCCACAAAAAATTAAAACCCCAAAGCGCAGCGTATTTTCCTAAAACGCTTCCCAGGCAGGGAGCTGTTCCCTGTGGGCTGCTGAGCCAGAGCCTCTTTGCAAAGCTGCCTCTGAGAAGTAGAGACTTTGCCACCAGGTCTCAGACTGCTCATGGCAGGGAACTGCCCACTAACACCGTGGCAGGTGATGCCATTTACTCCACCACAAGGCATGTGGCTGGGGAGTTCTCGGGCAGTCTCGCCCAGGCCGCGAGGCAAACGTTTGCAAGATCTGTTCCTGGAGACTCACCTTTGTTAGGCGGGTACTTCGGCTTCTTTCCTCCCCCGACTAGTGCTAAATAGTTGCAACGAAACAACATTTCAACATGGCCAACACCACCTTCTAGAAATTCTGAAACACAAATGCATTTTAATTGTCAGAACCTGTTAAAATCCTGTCTAATTTCTACCACTGTTACAAGAAAAGCTCACGTTATCCAGCACTTTTCTCAGGCACCTGAGAAGGAGAGTACCTTCCTACTCTGGCTGACTTTAAGAACCAGAGACTTCTCCAAGAGTGGGGGTGACAGACAAGGAATCCTGACTAAAAGGGTGGGGTTGGTTTGGGGTTTTTTTTTGGTTTATATTTTTGTGCTTGTTTAAGATGAGGATTCTCATCAAAGTTGCCTTATTTCTCAAGGCAATGAAGATCACCGCTGTGATCACCCTGTTGGGACAGGCCTTGTTTCCATATACAGAAGAAACACAGGAAGGTTTTAAAGTTATATTAAAGCACGCTGCATAACAGGAGGTAAGTGCTATCCTCACGGCAGCTTGATCACTTCTGTTACGTAGTGGGCTTAAGGATGTGTCTCGAAAGACTGTCCAGTCTCAGATTGATTCCCCTCACACACACATTCCAAGGCTGGAGTTGCTCTATTATGCTCATGCTGTGCTCTTAGAAAAATACCTGGAGTGTCTCGTTCAGGTACACGTGTGTGCGTTTCCTCAAACTCACCAAGTCTATAAAGACATCCCCGTGCGGATACAAAATGTCAATGAAGACATTTTATAACAAAAATTTTTTTCTATTTATTTGATGACATTTAAGTTGGGGCTTGGCTTTGTTTACACAGCCTAGAGGGATGTCTGGCATTCCAGCAGGGAGAGGGAACCCAACTGTCAGGACGAGAGGCTGTAACTGTGGCTTTCAGGGTAGATGAGCAGAGTTGAAAACAAACTTCTCCTTTAAAAGATTGTCCAATAACTCCACACACTGGCAGGTTGCAGCAGGAAAGGTGGACAGAACTAGTAAAACATTTCAAAGCTAGAGGAAAAGTTGAAATTTAAGAGAGACCCACTGTCAGAAACAGAGATGAGAGGGAGGAGAGGGAGGAAGCACTACAATGGAAAGATGCTGACATCTGCATGAGGGTAGGAGAACGGAGATGCAGTCGGACATTCAGAAGCACCGCAGTACACCTGGATGAGGAATCCATGTTGGGACTTGACTACACAACACTGAAGGCAGATGCCTGGAAAGATATTCACCCTGGAACAGTAAAGCCTTGGAGTTCATACAAGTCCTTGTGGTTTCTGCAACAACACTTTTGACTGCCGAGTTTCCTTCCAGAACAGCTGTATTTGGACACTAACCCCTTCTGCACCAGATTCTTCTCTGAACTCCATTAAAGCATGACAACAATTTTGTTATGAAGAGGCATTATCACTGCGACAAAAAGTCTTAAAAAAAAATTTATGAATGATAACCCAAGACAATTTAAGAACATGCAACGTGTTCTGAATCTGTGTCAGAACAGACTTTAATCATTGTCTTCACAGTTCTGACAGGTGATGCTTGGATGGGGAAATTCATGGAGCTCCTGGATAGAAGAGACACAAGCCAGGGTGTAACAGTTAAAACCTGCTTTCATACTGGGCTACAGAAATCAACCAAATAGTCCCAGATGGAGCTTGTCTATCTCAGGTAGGTTTAAATATAGGTGAAAGATGAACAAGACTTCCTGTGTACCTGTGCAGCCAGTACAGTCTGACCTCTCCAGACTCACAGGGGAAAGGCAATCTGACTTGTCAGAGACATTTCACTATGGGAGTTCTGGAAGCATGTCGAGTTTCTGGCAGGGAGAGTTTTGACAAGATGCTCAACAGGACTTCAGCCTGAATTCTGATCCTTTTAGCACACCATCACAGACGATAGTCCCAATACATGTTGCTTAGGGAAGAATTTAGTATGAAGAATAGAAAACAGTTTGTCAGGTTTGGCCACATGAACAGTGACTGAAATCTCTTACACCATTAGAAAGTAAGAGCATGCCTAGTTTCATAAGAATTGCTATTTTAAACACGTTTTTCCTCTTATCCTTTCTGTCACCACAGGCTGGAAGTACGGGGAAACCTGTTTAGCATGGCACCTTTCCTCCTATATTTAGGGTTAGAATCACATGGCTAGGTTTCATTTTCCCTTATTTTCACTCAGTTATGTTTGTTTTCTGACAAAAAGCCCCACCACCTGTTAACAGAGCTCATCTAGTCACTTCTGTTAAGACATACCAGGTTTACTGCCTTGAGATCCTCCCACAATTTTTAGGCATACAGCAAATATAAAATTTCTAGAGTATCAGAGGCCTGAGCTCACGGTGCTCTTGCAAGCGATACTCTAAGCAAGGAGGAGAAACGTTACGTTCAGATCTCCAGGAAAAAGGCAGCAGTGGTGTTGCTGCACGAGACCATCCAAATTTCTGTACAAGAACAACTTCTCTCCATGCTACATCAGATCGCCACAGCGAGGGACTCTTCTCCCACTTGTGAATAACGAGACAACTTTTCTCCTATCAGGACTACAAACATTTGCAAGAGCTCACACAATTCAGCCTCTGCAAGAAGGTGTGACAAATCCATCATCAGCCAGCTTAATGCAAATTAACAGCAGATAAAGATCTGACCAAGCAGTGGCAGAAGTGGGAGTCCCTGTGGGACCAGCACGGACTTCCTTCCCTTGAGGCTTTACTCAGAGCCTTCTAGTGATGGAATGGTGAAAGCTAAGCAAGAATCTTACAGCAAAAACCAAGGAGGCTGAGCATTCAGCACAGAACTAGCAGGGTACAATAAGTAAGCATTTTACCTTGTTTCTCTTTTTCTTTGAGTGGATCTGCATTATAAACTCGGAATCCATTTTCCATTCCACATGCAAAGCATCCTGTAGTAAAAAGCACATATACATACACATCTATAGTAACTGCGAGGTACACTCGAGAACTAAGCAAAAGCCAGAGGGTTAAAAGAGCATCACTTGATAACTGCATCGTTAAACTCAAGCTGAAGACTGCCTGCAGGCTGTGTTTGCAAGTGGAAACTGTTCAGAGAAGTTGTCCTCTATGCTGGCCTCTACTGAAGTTCTCAGTATTCTTTGTGGACAGGTGAGAAAACAAGGGAAGGACAGGAGAGCAATTCTCAGCCCATCTGTATCCTATGCCATGCACTACAGAGGGAAGGAAACCTGCATTTCAACTTCTGTGGTCCAACAGTCGTTAGGAAGCAAGCCCCTCCTTGCTCACTAGATGAATTTACACCGTGATTACAACTGTATGAAGCATGATCCATTGTCCATGTTTCCACAGAAGGGAGCTTCTCAACATAGCTTTTAGGAATGCTCTAATGAGAGCATTAGATATTGTCAGATGCCAATAATTACACGCCAATAGCTTAAGTCTAAACCAGGGAATGATAAGAAGTCAGATTAAAATACTCTTGAAAATTATGTTACTTTCTTTTACATACAGCATTATTCATGTGCCTTTTTAGTGGAATCCATGTTGAAAATTATGTTACTTTCTTTTACATACAGAATTATGCATGTGCCTTTTTAGTGGAATCCATCGAACTAGCAGCTGTCTGTCCTGCTGTTTTCCTTGCCAATGGATGAATGCAGCTATTAACATAAAGAATGGCACTGTGAAGTCAGTGCAATTACGAGTTATTAGGAAGCAGCTACTGTTGCTAGAGGCAGACTGATAGATTAGTTGCTACACAACTCATGTGCGCTGTATCCAAAATCCAGTTAAGATCTTCATGGTACTGGAATTATTATAAATTACCCTACTTTTATTCTTACGCACTGCAATGACTGCAACAATTTGAACCCCCCAAATAAAAATTTAGCAGCTATGTCTAAACGCACCCCTTCCCCAAACTCAATACTCCAAAAATCACAGGGTGGGTGGGGGAAGGAAGTCTTCACTCTTAACATAAGGTCTCCAAACCATTTGCTCATAGCCAGGTGACCCATGATTTTCTACACACAGGACTGGACTGGTTTGCTGTGGAGCAACCACTCAGAAGCTGGCAAAAAGGCCCAGAGTGCAAGAGACTGTTTTGGGTGTTCGAGGTGATCAGCAACGGCCCTCACAACACAGCAAACTGGCTTGGTGGTCTGCGTGCTGCTAGCTTCATAGGAGCTCCACCTCAAAAATTACACATGCTCACTGGAGAGCAAGCCAGCAACCAGTACAAGTCTTCCACTACTCAGGTTTTGATGCAGGTTAAGATATCAGAAGAAACAATACAATTGGGGATTATATTTTTTTTTTCTGGCCGTTGCAACAGGAGCTGTTATAAAGGAAATCCACTACACGGAACAAAAGAACAAGATCAACGTTCTCATGTAACTCTATAAAAACATATAAACAACTTGATCATCACAACAGTATTAGTTTAAAAACCCCCACAATTTGGGAAAAATAATGCAACAAATTTGAGATGCATTTCAAGAGTTTTATTCCAAGAAGGACCACTTTAAAAAAAATATAACAAAAAAAATCCCCAAAAAACAATCAAACACAAAAAACCCCAACCAACCAAAACCCCACAGTTTCAAAAAAAGACATCTCACACATCCTCTGCTCTAGGACCAGTATCTTAGGAGGTACAGGGGTGCACATCTGGCAGCATTCTTTGGGTTCCTATTCACTGAACTCACACATACAAAGGAAAAACTACTACAAGATCCATCTCTGCACCCTTCAGTGTGGAAAGGGAACAAATTAACCCTCTTCTCTTACACACAGTCACTAACAGCAGTCCCAGACTCAATACACTAGGCTGTTAGAGCAGTACAACAGTGAGCCAAACAGCAAGGAAAATAAAACACACAAAAACCTACTCCCTCAACCCAAAAGACTCACAGTCACAACTGCACCCTGTCTTAGATTTCGTAATTAATTAAGTGAGAAAAGTTCTTGCTAACATAGGCAAACACACTTGGAGAATGGCTAACAAGAACACAATAACTACAGAAAGATTAGTAAACGTATTGAAATAGATGCTTCTAAACGACCTATATTGACCTTCCCTCCTCCCTTCTCAGTGCATCACTCTCTGGTTTGCTCTGGCAGCTGAATTCGCTGCGTTGAAATCCCGGCACTAACAAGCTGCCACCTCACGCAGTACACTTCACGGGGACAACCAGAAAGCAAATTGCAATGGAAACGTTTCTCTACATAAACCAATATTGAACAGGATTAGAATCAATCTGTTTCTGGTAGCAGCGGTGCGCATCCATATCATTATTTCCCCAGCGACGGTTTTATAACACAATATTGTATTTCCGAGAGACAGAGAGGGACGCTGAAACTGTTCTACAGTAGGAGAGCGCTGTCAAGTTTTACTGTGCTAACATCAGCAGCTTACACCAAACCCAAGTGCAGCATTCCTAGTGCACTAAAACGCAGACGTTACGCTTCCTGTAGCACCACCACAGCTGTTCTGCAGGGCTAACCTCGTGACTAAGACGTGGGCTGCTTTTAATGTCTTGGGAATATCTCCATTTTTAACTGGAGACAACACACCAGAACTGAGGGAACGTGAGTAACAGTGATATTCCCTACAGTCCATCATTACTGACAGATCCAAAGTTCTCAGTCATGGCAACCCCTGAGCCAAACAAGAGAAAAAAAAAAAACATAAAGGAAGACTACTGCTATTCATTCAATTCCAGGTTCCAGGAACAGCTTTGGAGCCCAGTGTTTCCCATCTGACTGATCCAGCATTTACCAGTGGGATCACAAATTTGACAGCTCAGTTACAGCTTGGAAGCTCTCATGTATGAGAGCGCTGGGGAGGGGCTGCCAGAAAAGGGAATTGCTGCAATAATAGGTGTGCTTCCTTCCACAGGAATTCACATTTCGTCTCGAGAAGGAACAGACACGCTGTCAAGGAGCAACTGACAGAAGGCAACTCAGATACTTTAAAAAAAAACCCACTACAAACATTAATTCAGATGCCAGGGAAAACTGAATCTCCACGGAATTATTACCCTAACACACAGCTGTGCTTGTTCCTACAGTGAAAGTACTGTTTGCCAACAGTGCCAGTGAGGCCACAGCGAATTTTGTTTGGGTTTAGAGAAACAAAGAAAAAGAAAGGGTTAAATTAATGACTACCCTACGAAGCATGCTGATATAAAGACATCTGCAGGCTTTGGGGCCTGAGGATGCAGAAACTGCAGCAGTGGAGCCGAGGGAAGCATCCATGGCAGGCACAGTTCCTAGTCCTCGCCACAGCACGTTTTGTCTCAAGCCATAAGAGAGAGCACGGAATCCCACTAACACTTATAGGGTCCTACAGCCAAGCACTTCAGTCCTCTAAAGGAGATCAAATGAATACGGCAAGTGTTTCAACACCAAACAAGTTCACACCTCTGTTTTCGAACTAGCTTCGGACTGCAAAGGTGACAGAAGAGGCACTTGTCAGCAATTCCCACACACACCTCCTGGTGTGGTAATTTATTGTTATGTTGTGTCTGTTCCTTGCTGTGGAGTCCTTTAATGTCCTCCTGAAAGCATTACAACAGTGCCCGAAATCAGGAGTATACCAGCTTGAAATTAAGAACGTAGAGTCAGAGTATTCTGTTTCAAAAAAAACTGAGAACACCTTGTAATATAGTCCTTCCATTTTAGGGGGTCATATTGGTTTTTTTTTTAAATTTAAAACCAAAAAGTAGCGAACGCACCCGATATAAAAATACAGTATCACTCAAAACAGAGCAAGGGAAGAGAACGTAGAGTCAGAGTATTCTGTTTCAAAACAACTGAGAACGCCTTGTAATATAGTCCTTCCATTTTGGGCGGTTATATTGTTTCTTTTTTTTAAATTTAAAACCAAAAAGTGGCGAACACACCTGATATAAAAATATAGTATCACTCAAAACAGAGCAAGGGAAATACATTTCAGAAAAACCGCAGATGCTAGCTTTATCACTTGTCAGTCATGGAAGTTACAGCTTGGAGAGACTTAGTAAATCATTCTTCCCATCATTATGGGATTGGCGGGTTTTAAATTACTAAGAAATTAGGTTATTGTGACAATACATGCAGACACCCACACTACTAAGCTTTGGCACTCAAGTGACTCATATTTCTATTTTAGGTAAAAGCAACAAGGAAGAAGCAAGCTTTTCCTCTTGCCTACTCTTCTTTGAGCAGCCAAAGAAGTTGCTATCCTTTAATACTTCACTAGTTTAGGGCTTTTAAAAAAGTTAGCATGCTACCTACAGCTCAAAAGTCACCATTTCTAAGCAGGAATAGCTGCAGGAGCCTGCAAACGAAAGCCAAACATGTTTTTTGTTCAAGTTTTCCAGAGTTATTCAGTTGGCTGGCTGAGCTAGGTAGGATGGGACTGGAATACTGTTAGGAATAAGCTGCTTGGCTTGCAGATTCCCAGGATAAATTCCTTAACACACTTTGGATGTGACATTATTCAAAAAAGTGTTTACATTGCATTTACTGCTACCGAATTTAAAGAAGCCTTTGCAACAAAGAACAAGTTTTAAATGCTAAAATGATGTCCTAAAGGCACTTGGCAGAAGAAAAACTTAGCTTCTCATACATTTCTCGTAATAACCCAGCCCCAGCACAGCCAAGCATCAAATATTACCGCTTCGTCACAGACTCCTGCAGATTTCAAACGAAGCTCATCCTCACAATTACCTTTTCCCCCTCTCTGTTGCAAATGCAAGACGAAGACAATGCAAACAGAGCTGCTGAAAACCAGACTCTTCTATCGTTTTCCAGTCAACAGGATAGCACAAAGAGAGCTACCAAGAAGCTCACTTCATCAACAGCTTGATCCACTCCTGACAAAACGTCATCAGAGATGTCTGATTAGAATAATTCGTGTTTACACCTGACTTCAACAGCAACA